TAGGATTGCACCCCAAACTGTTCAGATTTCCTTAGACTTGTGCTCTCCAGAGGTGTTGGAGTCCAACTCCCAGAATCCCCAGCCACTTGCATGGAGATTCTAGGAGTTGCAGTCCAACACTTCTGGAGGATACCAGCTTGGAGAAGGCTGGTACACTTGGTGAGCTTCCCAAAATTTCCATATACCAGTGATAGATATTCCTTAGAATAAATGTTTTATAACATTTGATGTTCCTTTGCAGTTTTAACTGGATTGTTTCAGCTCTGCTGCTGTGTGTGTTATCATTTGTTTTGTAATTGTTTTCATCATTTTTAATTTGAAGCAAACTGCCCTATGACCTAAGATAATAGGGCAGGCTATATATTTTCTTAATAAACAAGCCAAGAAGCAAACAAGAGAAGCTGAAGAAAGATCCCCAGGGAGCAGAAGAAGAGGGAAGAAAGGAAGGCAAGTCTAAATACAAGCAACAGGAAGAGGTACTGACAGAACGTGTACTAAAAGTCAACAAGGATCCATTAACTGACACCATGCCAAGTCATCAACAGTGGTCTGAGATTGGGGTTATTATTATTACATTCCATTACACTTACAGTCCACCTTTCTTTCTCTTCCCAGGAACTTGAGGTGGTTTACACAGTTCATGTTTGGTATTACTGTGTACTAAATGCATTAAAGAAATAATTTTAATATGGATTAGGTTCCAGGGTGCAACGTGTCCCTTCTCATCCCTAAAAAAAGATCTGGGTGCATTACAGCAGCCTCAAGTACAAGAATTATTTTCACAGAGCAGTGAGTGTTTTGCAAAGCCATAGGCAGCCTTTCCTATGTACAATCACAGAGCTGTAGGTAGGTGCCTGGAAGCCCATCTGGAGGCATATGTACTCACATACACATGCTTGGCGTAACCCATGTTTGTCCATATTAAGGACAGCCAGCTTTGTTTTCACAGCTGTTGCAACATCAAAGCCGGTTCTTACATTGCACATAGGTGATTTTTCTTTCCCCTGCACTAATGAGACAGATCTGCAGTATGCAGATTTCCTTACCTATATCTCCGATGACTGGATCTGAGAGAGAAGGGAACACGAGAGAATAGATGGTTATGAGCTACTCACCATTGGTACAACTAATAAGCAAACTTCATTTCAGTAACATACAACCAAAATAAAGCAAAGGTAGGTTGAGTTCCCCAGGCCTTTAATTCTTACAATTAAATTTGCAGTCTTGTATATTGTCATCGAGGGAACCCAGGAAGTCCCTTCAAGAAACAATACCTTATGAGAAGCAATATCTTTCTAGTACCTGGGGCTATCTGCTTTTGAAATAAAAAATAAATAAATCTGATAATTGGGGACAGAGTCTTCTGGATCAGGGAATGACGTTGAGGGAGAAGGGCTTGGGATGGTCTATTCTGTCAGCTTCATTTCTTTCTACATTCAGATTTATTAAATCCCAAATTCTTTCTGTTTTGCCTATAAAGACATTTGCAAATGTTGCTAAATTCTTGTTATGAATCAACCAAACTGACATTCTCATCTGCACTAATCAAAGTTAGAAGGTTCAACTATTCCCAGCATAGAGAAAGCCATGTTGTATCTGCCAGCCATCTAGCTATTGAAGAAGCTGCCCAGAGGCAAAAAAGAGATGGATATCCAAATTAAGCATCACTAACATGGTTGAACAGGCAGGGTTTAAAGCCGAAGCTAAGAACTTAAAGAAACTAAATGGACAAATCTGTAAAATTTGCTTTCTCTGACATACAGATTTCTTTAAAATTTCAAATGCATTGTATCCTCAATATAAAGGAATGTGAATATTTTGATAAATTTCTATTTTTCCAAAAACTCTGATTGATTTAAGGGAAAGTATTCTGTCTCTATGTCTATATATTCAGTATATGCCTCCTTCTTCTATCCTCACAACAGCTCTGTGGAACATGTTGGGCTGAAGTCAAGCTAGATATAGTGCAGCAAATACCACATGAGCACCTGTAAGTTTTCCCTTAAAAAAAAACAGCATCTCAGAAGAGTAATTTGGTTCAGAAAATGCCATGGAGGCTGGGTGAGGAAGAAAAAACTAACCCTCCTCCACTGCCATGCCAGTAACCTGAATCTCCCCCCTTTATAGCTGCTATTATTTTAAATAATCCTGCTAATGAATTCCTCCGGTCATATCTGTCTCTAACTAGTCAAAGCTTTCTCACTATGCTCTGCGTCAGAGCTGTGGCTTGAACTTGCTGGGAGGCTGGGTTCCCTCTACCTGATTCCCATGTCCGAGCAGAGCAATCCAGCTCGGGGCCAGGGATGAGCCCTCCATAGAATGGTTCTGAGGCACAATTGGCACATGAGAGGCTGGGCTGCCCTCCCCTACAGCTCTTACCTATAGCCCCGATGGTGAGGAGCAGCCAGACAGGCCAGGGCCACCCCGATCCCATGGCACAAGGACACTGCACCTGCAGCCAAAGCGCTGCAGTGTTGCCTCCTTATGTTGCCAGGCTAGGTTACTAATGACACTGGACTGGGCAGGGCAGGGAAAGGCAAGCCTTGGTTGCGAAAGCTGCCCGGCCCTTCTCAACACAATGGGTTGCATCCAGACTTAGTCTTGCTTAGAGTAATCATCGCAATTGGTAGCATCCTCTGTGTCAAGACCTGTCCTGTCCAGTTCTGGATGAATGAAAAAGGCCTGTAAGAACTGTTGCCCATCCAGATTTAGCACCTGGCCAGCAGGCCGGGTAGGTAGACACAAAGATCATTTAGCCAGGTCAGTCTTCCACACTATAGTAAATTTGCTGGTTTTTTTTCAATTATGCTAATTATCTCCAAATTTACATATTATGTTTTACCATATGCACACTGGCATCCTCTTTCATACACTTGTTGGCGATGTATTTCCTCTTCTTTGGTTATGCTTTTCAGCAGGGTTTCATTGCTGGTAGATCACATCTCACAGCACCAGACAGACTCAGCTTTCTAAGCAAAACCTCCAACAAGGGCCCCTCTCCAGAGCTCTCTCATGCTGTGGCCTCAGGCCAGAAGCTGTGGATGTTGCCCTCACCACCTCTTGGTTCCTCCCAGGAAGCACACCTTATCCAGGCTGAATCCAGCCATTCCAGGCAATTTGTAAGTGTTTGTCCTACACCAGTCAGCTATAGTGACCTGTATCTTGAATTAAGTTTGGTTGCAAGCCGGTTCAAAGGCATATCCAGATGACCAGTGAAATGTTCCAGCCACATGTGGTAGTGGTTGCTTCCACATTAGTCTAGCCTCTTGCACAAAGAATGAACATGGTGGAGGCTGTAGATGAGCTGGAGGGAAAGGGGTAGTCATGCCATTTTTGTTCTTTTTAAGCTGTGATCATATCTGCACACTTGGTTGCCAAAGAAACCACTGAACTCTGCAGGACATACTCCCTGGTAATCTTTCATGACAAAAAGCTATTTTAAAAAATCAAATTGCTGCGGAAATGGGGCAGGGGGAGCTTCATGTTTCTAAAAGCTAAATAAAATAAATAAGGATGGAGCAGGAGGGAATCTCTTTAGAGACAGTGCCTCTCTTGAAAGCCAAGCTACACATTACACACAAATGCCTGCAAGGCACTCCTGATGGGTACAGGAGAAAAAACAAAGAAGCTGCACAATGCCTTTTATTTGTAGCCATAAGAGCCATTGTTCTGGAAGAACTCCATGGATTTCTTAATTATTTGAACACCTGTGTCCTCTCCCGGGAAATAAAAATGCAGCAATAATAAATGAAACAACTAAGAATCTGCTGCCTTCTGAGGCGAGTTGTAAATACAGCAGGGACAGTGTTAGATATAAGACTGGGGACTCAGGCCCACAGGACAAAAAAGAAGCATCAATTTGCACATACTAATTTGCATATGCTGTAAAGTCTATGTGTGCGTGTATATTTAAAGAACCTGGTCTTCTAAGGACACTTCTTTTTGTAAAATGAGGTACATGGACAGGAGAAAGGAAGGCATTTGATTTCAGAAGAAGCTCAGGCAGAAAGATTCAGGCAGTGATCAGCAGGAGATGAATGTGGGCAAAAGGCCAGCTAATCCAGGGGTATTAGATGCAAGTGCCCCCAGACAGATGCCCTCGCAGATACTCAGTGCTCCATATGAAAGATCTGGAGCTCCAGCCTTACCAGGCCGGCTGCAAACCCCGCCTCTGAAACACAGTGGGAACGGCGTGGGTTGGGGAAGCTAAACCGAAGCCCGCTGCCGAGCGCAGCTTCTCCTGCCGCCATCCAGCTGTTTGCACGCAATGGCCACCAGGGCGCGATCTTGCGTCACGCCGGCGAGGCGAGCGGGCCCATCCGTTCTGCGCTGCTGCTGACAGGCCTCCCTTCCCGTCCTCGCGTGGCCCGGCCTCGGTCCATGCGCGGACCTCCAGTCTCCGGCGCGGCGGGGCAATGCCCTGACGCGTGGGCTCTTGGGGGGACCCGCAGGGGCGGCGCGGGGCAACTCACTTGGGGCACAGCTGGCCTTCCAGACTGCTGCCTCCTCCCAGTCCATCCCATCTTCGCCCAAGAGAATCAATCATAAACAGGGTCGTAAATCTGAGAAAGTTTTAAAGCCGCTGTAACGAATAGACTTTTCAGCTGTGAGTTTTTTTGGTCACCGCTTCAAAAACGTAAAGCGCTCCAGCTCCATGCTATCGGGATCTGCAGTGCCTCCAGTTGGCTGCTAGATGGAGCTCTTCTGCCTGTGAGACAAGAGCGGAGTCCGCGAGCGACCTCCTGTTCTTGGCCTCATTTCCAATCAGCTGTAGCTAGCCGCATCAGTGGTTAGGGATGATGGGAGTTGCAATCCTGCATCATGTCCATCCCGGACAAGAAGGTAGCTGGTTGCTACCCATTCCTCGTATAATGCACACGTGGCGTCCTGCAGGGGGTTAGAGACATGGAGGGTTCAGCACTGGTAGCAATTTCTGCTCCTTTAAGAGTTTATTTAAGGAAATTCTAGGAACAGGGTTTATAGAAGGAATCTAAAGGCAGGTTAGGGAGGACGGGTGCTTCAGTCAAGAGCAGCCAGGAGGGACTGTGCAACTCTTTTTCTGCAGAACGCTGGTTTTGTATTTTTTGTTTGTTTGATTTTTGTTTCTTTTTGGCAGTAAGAGAAAAGGTGGAAGAAGCATTAGGAAAACAATGGGGGAGCCTGGCAGGCAACAACTCATGCAAAATCCCACGAATGAGGTGATGCAAAGGCATCATAAAAGCCTTGTCTGGAAGCACCCGAAGGACAAGGACATAAGCATCTGACCTGTATCCAGTGAAGACCTGAAGGAGTCTGCCAGGAGATCTGAGCACATTAAAGAGATTTTGTGTCTGCATATTTGGGCATAAACTCTGCTTCCATGTATGGCTGAGTTATCCAGCATCTAATTGCTGTGTGCACGTTCAGGGTCAAGCAGAGATTACTTAGTGAGCTGCATAACAGTCCAAAGTATGATTTGATCTCATTTTAAAGAAAACTGCATAGCTTTGGGGAGCAGCTTTTGTGACTTTTTGAGACTTGGGTAGTGGTGGTGGTTATTCTTGTCCTATTTTGCTCTCAAGTTTGGTGACTGTAGTAGATATAATTTGAGAGAGCTGCAAACCTGTGATGCATTTCAAAGCATCACTACCCTAGCACATCATCATTATTATGATGCTCAGGTTGAGGAGTCTGTGACCATAGTGAATAGGTACCACTAAAGCTCATTGTGTGAAATTGAAACACTTCAGGGAAGGAAGAAAAGGGAGCCCTATATGCATTAGGCAGTGGTAAAAGTGGACAGAAACAGGGCTCTCCAGACCTGAGAAATCAGCCCCATTATGGGGTGAGCTGTAGGAAAATATTTCATCCACATTCCTCACTGAATTTAGTCATTA